AAAAAAAAACTCAAGCAAGACACAGAAGAACAAAACAACACAGTCAGCGTGACCTCATAGTCATATACAGGATACTCCAGCCAACAGCAGCACCATATACATTCTTTTCCAGTGCACTTGGAACGTTTTCCAGAATAGACCATATGTTAGCCACAAAGTAAGCCTCAGTACATTTAAAAACACAGAAATGCTACAAAGCATCTTCTCAGATCACAGCACTATAAAATTAGAAATCAACATTAGGTAGAGCAAAGAAAAGAAATCAAATACATGGAAAATATAGAACACTCTGCTTAAAATCTACTGGTTGATAGAAGAAATTAAAAAATTTCCTTGAATCAAACAAAAAGGAAAACCCTTTGGAACACAGCAAAAGCAGTCATCAATGGACAATTTATAGCAGTAATTACACACATCACAAAAAAAGCAGAAAGAGGTAAAATCAACACTTAAGCTCAACATTTCCAACAATTGTAAAAAGAGCAGCTGCAGTCACCAGAAAAAAAGAAATAAGAATCAAGCAGAAATTAATTCAACAGAAAACGGATAGAATCAACAAGACTGTTGTTGTTACTGTTGAAAGCCCCTGAGTCGGTTCTAACTCATAGTGACCCTACACACAAACAGAATGAAACAGTCCTGTGTCAGCCTCACAATTGTTTTTGCTGCTAACACAGTGACAACACATGTCCTTGGGGGCCTCCCTCTTGTTCACTGACCCTCCACTTTACCAAGCATGATGCTGTTCTCCAAGGACTGGTCCCTCCTAATAACACATATGAAGTATGAGAGAGCACATCTCACCATCCTGACTGCTAAGGAGCATCTGGCTGAACTCCTTCCAACACAGATTTGTTTGTTCTTCTGGTAGTTCCTGGTACTTGTAATATTCTTTTCCAACACCATAATTCAAATGCATTGATTCTTCTGTGGTTTTATTTATTGTCCTCAACAAGAATAGAAGTTTGCATAGTAAAAATTTTGAAGAGATTAATAAAATCCGCAAACCGCTGGCAAATCTAACTCAGGAAAAGAAGAAGATGCAAATAACATGAATAAGATATGAAACAGGTGATGTCACAAAAGAACAAAGTGAAGAACTATACTCCAACCAATTTGTAAACCTAGAAGAAATGAACAACTTTCTAGAAACACTACCTACCTAAACCAACATGATTGAAGTAGAAAATCTGATTTCTGTTTGCTTTTCTATTTTTTTTATTGTATTTTTTTCCTAGCTGTTGCCTTTTTTTTT